CACCAAGGCTATAATGGCTCTGTAAAGGGGGTTTCCCTGGATTGCCTTGAAGATACAAGTGCTTCCTTATGGTCCAGAATCAACATGTCAAACACTCCTCTCCAGGTCTCTGTGTCAGACACCTCCATCTACTGTGTGACAGATTCTCCTGATTGATAGACCTCCAAGAAATGTAGTGGGAAACAAGATCAACAATAAAGCTGTTGACACTCATCCTCCATATTTTCAATTAACATAAACAAAAAATGATCCAATATATGTAAACTATGCTTAGACCACTAATTACTCTGCCTTTTATAAAGCTTCAGCTTTAATGACTCAGCCCTTTCCTTTTCACTAACAGTATAAGATAAATTAATAATAATACATTTTAAATAACAATATTGTAATATACAATAAAATTAGTTTTGACCTGTGGATTAAAAGTAGGCCTCAGTAATCCAGGACAAGTTTTGCAGTGGATTTGGTGTAGAGCTAAAATATTTGTCAGCACACATTTGTGCAAGATAATCTGCAGTGCACCCCGTCAGAGCTTTCATGTCTCAGTTCAGCTGAGGGTTACATAAAGAGACATTTGTGAGAAAAAGGCAAGCAGCAGAGTTAAGAGATGAGCTGCTCAGGGATCAGTGCCACAACAGAGGACAGTGGCACTTCGACCGCCAGCTCTCTGTAGTCTATTGTCCCCACTCCGAATGAGGGCAAGAACGTGGAACAGCCATTAGATGGCAACAACTTCAAATTGCTTCCTGTCCCTCCTGCCTCTGACCCACTGACCTAAAACAGTCCACAGAACATACAGGCAGTTTTAGCACAGTTCAAAGCAAATGCAGCCCTTGTTTCCCACACACATGTGCTTTTTAAGCCAACAGAGGATCATGAAAAATCCTTCCCTTGGAAGGAACCTGTTTCTGGGAGCCCACGTTGGACAGCTCTCACACAGCGCCATGGCAAGGGGAACATCACCTGTGCACATCATGGAACAGAAACACCCTCCTCCAGAAAATTAATGAGTTGTTTCTTTAGAAGAGCAATGAAGACTGATCTTAATGACATTCTGCATCTTGGTTCAAAAGACCTTAAAAGATTTACCTATATCAGGTAAATCTTCTAAAAACAGTGTTATATTAGAATTTGTTTATATACTTCTGGAAATTTCTTAGGTGCTGAGAAATCACATACTTGCTGGAATCCAGCAACATCATTTCAACACTGTCTTCTAGATGTGTTTCTCATTTTCTGTCTTTATTTTTTTCCATAAATTCTAAATATGAAATTTGAACTTTAGAGGCTTGTTTGGCATATATTCTTTTCTATAAATCCAAATAAAAGTCTAGATTTTAAGAGAGAAATTCTGTATCATAAAATCACAGAATCATTTGGAAGGGACATTAAAAATCATCCAGTTCCAACCTCCCCAAATTTAACTATTTTGTACTTAACAGGATTGTCTCCACCACACACAAACAAAAAAAGGAATAAAAATGTTATTTAACCTGAATTTTCTTCCTTTTCCCATAACTGCCTATAAAGGAGACAGCTACTACATATTTTGTCCACCACACAGGCTCTTTTTTACATTAGACAGTATCAGCTTTGCTTTAACTGAAGGAGCAAACAAAACCACTCATAAAACACTGCCTTCCTGCCAGTGATGTCATAGTCTGACATAACCTATGCTGGGAAAGGTGTCCTTTGCTTAGGTTGATAGAAGACATCTACAGGATTGTGCAAAATAGGTATACAGTGACATATACAAGGATATGCACAAAGAAAAAAAATAATGTTGCAAATAACATCAACAGAAGTATGGGTATTTAAAAAAAAAACCCAAAAAAACCTGACAATTCCTGAAGGTCATTACCTACTTTAAAACTCAAAGGGGAAAACAAAGGGGCAGAGATTTGGTGGACTGTGACACAAGAGAAAGCAAATTCTGCTATTAGCAGCAGAAACTGTTCATTTGACACAGTGATGATGAACTGATTCCAGAGTGACAGTTGTTATCCAGCCACCAGAAGGAACTGCCATTCTGCTAAGTAATATTTTGAGTATGAACAAATTTCCATAAGAATAAAATTTTCAAATGTGTATTCAAGCATAAAATAGCTTGGATAAAATATTAATCCTACAGGTGAAAAGTGCTTCCTAAGCTCCTTTCACAGGGAATCACCTCTCTGCAGGGGGGCAACATATATAAATCTGTGTAATGTGTTATTTATTTTTACCACAGACACTGTCTAAGCAGGTGATTGGAATTCATGCAAATATCCAGGAAGGAAAGCTTGAAGTTCACAGCGTGCATTATAAGCAGTTGCTGCTTTCCCCTTTGCTTCACTAGAAAGACAGAATATATCTAAGACTTGATATGCAGCAGTACAAAAATTATGTTACAGTAATATAAAATAACACAAGATCCATTTTCTCCTTTGTCTATGGAAAGAAAAGAGAGTCATTAACTTGGTCACCATAACAGCTGCAAAATTGTTCTGTGAAGACTGCATTTTTAAAGAAAAGAGGAATACTGCAGAGCAATAGACATCATATGGAGCTAACACCAACTTGGTGGCTCACCTCCATCCTCACTTGCCAACTATCAACTCCAACACATTAACTAGTGCAGAACAGCTCTCAAATACAGGGTCAGTTCATCCCAACTTTTAGGGACAGAAACTATTAAAAAAAGGTGATGCAGTGCACCAGAATATTTACACATAATCAATTAGGTTGGAAGAGACCTCTGAGATGACATGGTTTTTCACCACCTAAAAAGCACACAAGCAGTGCTATGGTTGAAAGGCAGAAAAAGGAAGACCAGGGAATAGCTTGAATATGTGCAAGTCCGCTTTATATGGTGCTAGAAAGAGTCATCCTGTAAGCACAGGTTCAGGAATTTGTCTCCCACCTGGAATAACGCTCAAGAAGGAGAATGCTGGATTCCAAACCCTCCCTGTGCTAGCACCCAAGGACTGGTCTACATCTCAATTACACACAATTACAGTTCCTCCATCAACCCACCAGGAAGTTATTTGCAGGAAGTTCTGCAAAGTGATTGCTGAGGAAATCCTTCACATGTCCGTAACACAATCAAAACAAAGGCTGTGGAGCAACATTTTTCTTCATTACAGGTGCTACTTCAGTTCTAGAAAATTACTTTTAGCCTGTCACATAGTTTGAACACTTCAAGTCCAACATTAATTTTGAGATAGAGCCTTCAGCCCAAATCAGGGCAGATTCTAGAGTATAATGAGCGCATCCACCTAAAACCCAATATTTCAAACACACAAAGCTAAAATATGCATCATCTCCCGTAATCACATTTTTTTAACGCTTACTATAGGAGTAAATATTTGGAACTCATCATGCTGAAGACAGTATTGTCTTTTCCCCAAATATCAACCACCCAAACAGGTGCCTGGCTACCTTACAAGACACTCTTAAACACAGCAGCTCTCAAATTTTACATCTTGGATGGTATTTCAACCAACCAGAACTACTGGGCCTATTGATAAAGTTTCTAAGGCAACACACTGGTCTTCTGAGCTAAAACAGGGAGTGAACAAAGACAGACCTCATCTTACTGCTGTAAAGCAACTGCCAAATCTAAGAGCATTATGAGAAAGAAGGTATTAAAGTTATAATCAAACCCATTATATGATTTAACATGTAATAGAGCCAAGAATGCTAAAGCTGTATTAGTAGTAGTAGCTTTTTTTTCCTGACACACTGAAGTATTCCAGACCACAGGAAAACTACAAATCATTGCTAAATAGAGCATATTTATGTAAATATTTCTACAGGCAGTTCAAAGAGTCCAGAGCTGAAGGTTTAAGAGGGCTCTACAACTGGAGAGAGAGAAATGGGGGAAATAAAAAAAAAATAAAAAAGGGAAGGTGGCAAAAAAATGTTTCATTAGATGTGACTTTTTGCCTGCAGCTTACTAACAGAACTGTCTAAGGAAGGTACCTGAGATAAAAATCAATTGTCAACAGGCTTTGAATTGCTACATGGAGGTCAAAACCCCCCTGCAAAATTCCTGTGGTATAGAAAGTTGGGAAGGTCAAGCCTCTCTAACATTTTCCTTGTTAAAAAAATAAAGATAATTGTTTGACAATATTCAGAGCAATAATTAAGAAATTCTAGTTTCCAAGCAACCCCCTTTGTTAAGAGAGACTGAAAATGTTTGAAAAAAAAATTAAAATCAGCCAGCAGTGCCACCACCAAATGCAGAGATATGCCTTTTCTGATTAAGCTAAATAGTTCCAAAATGAGAAGACCTTCTGGCAAATGAAAAAGGTAGTTATCAGAATTGCAAAAATAATATTTAGCCAAGGAAAATGTTTACATAGGAGGCTTTCAGCAACAAAAGTAAGTCACCAGGAACAGTCCAGGAACAGTAAAATTTTACATATAGGCAGTTGTAAAAATAGAGAACTCTCTAGAAAAACAGACCTCCACCATTATCCTAGACAATTTACAGAGGCAACAGCCCTCCAAATCACTGTTTTGTTGGTTCTTGTATGGCACTCAAATGTTCATTGTAGAAAGAGAACCCTCTGTAAACTGCCATTAAAAAAGCAAGCTCAGCTCCCAAAATACAACTGTTAACATTTGAAGGTCCCCACCGGAACAGTGAGCTGAAGACATGCTGCTACAGAATTCTTCAGGTTCAGATGCTTTGTAAAATTCCAGATCTTCCATTATATATGTATGTTAGCTTCTCTTCTGCAGAAAGGTTTGAAAGATTGCTCCTCAGATCTTACAGGCACTTCCTCACTCCAACACACCCACACCTCCACTGCAGAGGTGTTTCTCATTGGATAAATGTATGCTAAAGGAAAATAACTCTTCAGAATTACTGGCTTATTTTACTATATTGCATATATGTAAATATTATTGGGGAATGGGCTACTTCCAATACCAATCTGTCCAATGCCAAGGGCTCTTTAGCAATAGTTTAAACGGCAAAAGCATTAAAGTGAAGGAGATCACATTTTCTTTACCTTGATGAGTCATTGTGACAGGTTCTTCACTGGATATATTGTTGTAAATGACCACAGCTGTGGCATTATGTGAAGCTGCTCGTAATATTTTTTCTTTAAATGTACAGTTTCCTCTCTGTAATAAAGCAATCCACTGCTTGGTGTTTGGTGGGACCTGGAAACGTGTTCGAGGGTCACAGCCCAGACGATCTGCAACTGAAATGGGAAACAAATTTACATAGACAGCAATTTCTTCTAATAGGCAAAACAAGGAAAAAAAAAGAAAAATCCTAAATCCAAGTAGCTGAAGTACTTAAATGTTACACACTAAGAAGCCACTACTCTTGTAAAGAAAGTCTAAAGATAACTGTATTCTTATGAAAAAAAGATTTTAAAAAAAGAAGTCTTACGCACTGAAAGCTGTGACTATATCCCTGAGAATTAGGCTCACTAAAACAAGCTATTTTTAACTCCAGTGCAGCTAGAACAATGAATTCACATTCAAATCAATACCTGCCTAGAGGCTGAAAAACAGTAGAATATGGTTCATCTGCTATAGGCATTTACAAAACAGCTGTTTATCTGTCATTCTGGGGAGTACAAGTCTTTTTTTTCTTCCTAATGCAGCCATAAATATCACTGCAGTGGGAAGTACAACTAAACAAAGCAGGTTGTGAAAACAAGATTTCAGAGTTATCTGCCATGTGCAGGCTACTATAAAAAAGGACAATATTAAAAGCTGATCTTGTAAAACCCCAGAAGCCAACACTGGCTTTTTACATATGCACATTTTGTCTACAAGGAAATGTATTCAAATTCATAGAGAAACAAAAAGGTTTGCAAACGCAATGCACTCATCAGCTAAACAGGTATAGATGGTATAAAGGAAGAGTAACAGAAATGGCAAATGCCAGATGTCTGAATTCAACAGTGTGCAAAGCTCTTTTGTCCCTTCTGATGGTGTAACATCTCCTGGAACAACCCAAAGCCACAGAGCTGTCTACAAAAGGCACAAAACCCAAGGCAGAAGTAACTTCACAGCAGCTAAAACCGATGAAAGACAGATGTTTGCACAACTGGAAACACAGCTTAGTCTGATACACTGGTCATATCATTAAAGGATTTTATAAATTTAGAGCCAACAATAGTTTATAATGCAAATATATTCATCCTTTCCAATGCCAAGAGTATAATAATCTTTGGCTACTAAAAATAGTTGGGATAAACAGTGATTTTTTTAAGACATAAACAAACAATTTATTAGCATAATAGCTCTGAAAACATTAAAGTTCTGCAATGTAAGAGCAAATCAAATGAAGTCTTCCATAATTTTTTTCCTTTTCAAGGAGTGAGTTCAGCACAACTATGAGATTTCAGCAAAAAAATCTACCACCAAAAAAAATATCCAGTTTAACATATTAGCTGGAAACAAAACAAAAGGTCCTTTTAAGCACTCTCAGCTTAACATAGCTGAGGTTAAAACCTGTAACAAAGGAGATTCAAAAAGCTAAAGATGTTTTCTGAAACAAGAAAGAAAATCTTCTGGTTGCCTAAAGAAAGCTGGTGTAGATGAATGTATACTGTGGCAGACGTACAGGAAGTCATTGTGTCTCTTCATTTGGACAAGAAGTGCCTCTCCCTGTTCCTCTGGAAGGAGGGTGGGGAGCCAGATACCAGCACATCCTTTTCACGATTGTTTTTCAAGTGTATATTAGACATCTCAGACATGGAGAGCTATTTGCTGTATTTTTGTTTCATACAGACGTGAGGGAAAATCTGAAATATAGATGCCTGAAGCCAAATTTTATACAGAGTTTTCTTCCATTATCGTGACATCATTACTTGAATCCCTGTGGAAATTGCTAACTAGCACTGATCCACATGTGTTTTGCAGCACTGGTGATGGCCATCACAAACATCAACAATCACAGAAGAGCACCTTTATGCCCACTGCACTTTTACAGCTTGTCTTTGTAATGTTAAATTTGAGAACATTACATATTTTTTAAAGGAATTACAGTCCTTTTTGAAAATGTGGATGAATCACAACACAGCACATGTGCCACCAATCTTTTTGCCCTCTGTTAAGATAAAAGCTGTTTAATGCTTGATTCCCCCTTGTTCTGAACATTTCCACTTAAAAACATGGAAGGGAGAAAGCACCAGCAGACTGTGACAAAGTTTCTCAAGCCTTGAAAGCTAAAATTCCCATCCTTCTTCCATGAAATCATACTCAAAAATCTCAGGTATGATACATCTGCTGGAAAACACCATTTTCTAAATGGCTACAATTCCACAGAATCCCCTCAAACAACCAAAAATAACTCTGAAAGTAAATACTATGGCCAACATTAATTTACCTAAAATAGATGGGACTATTAAAAACAGTAATCCTACAGATAATGTACTATTTCCTTCAGTACAATCATGATCAAAACTAAGATATGAAGTGAAAACAAAAATGGCCACAAGAACAAGGTAGTGGGTTACTACAGTGAAAAAACATAAAAGCAACAAAAAGCACCTTGAACAAGGAGGCAGCATTCTTAAAATTCATGTAAGCACCTTGAAATTTTGTATGCTTGAAAATTTTTAGCTTAAAAAGCAACACAGAAAGAAGTAAGAGATAACAGAAACTGCATCTGTGGGAAAAGTAGCACAAAATTTTCTACCACCGTAGAGATCAAAGTCTCTCTCAGCTGTGGACAGAGCTATGAAATGTTACTGGATAAAGCAACAGAATTAGGAAACAAGATATTAAGAGATTAAAGCTTTCCAGATATAGACTAAAAAACACCACTCAAATGCTTACAGCATGTTATTCTTGACAAGGTGTATTCAGTATATCCTGATAAAAATTTAACAGCTGACAACATTAGCTCAGTACTATTTAAGCAATACAAAAACATTGAGGAAAATCTGGCTGGTTTAGATAAATCTGAACTGTGTGCAAATCACTTAAGATTTAATAAAAAGTCACAACCAACTTTTCTTTGCATTAGCATTCTGTTACACCACACAAATGTTAAGTATTCATCTCACTTTTAACTAAATAAAATTCAAAAATGATAGTGAGATGTGGGGTGTTCTGCTTGTCTTTTCAATAGACTGAAGATACTCTGAAAAACGTGGAAGCCTTAAAATTACAGTCACCCTTCTAGAATAGTGAGATGGTTACAACAGAACATCTCCTTTACAGCTCAGGATGTCAGTGGGCACTGAAGGGGACACACATGAACAGGGTCAGCCAGAATCATTGACACTCTCCACTACCCTGCCATCTATGATCTACTATCCAAAGTACAACCAGTATCAACAACACATGGGTTGCAAGCATTACCTGGATCATCATACAATTGTTTGGGTTGGAAAAGACCTCTAAGATCATTGAGTCCAACTATTAACCTGGCACTGTTGTGTTCATCTTGTGCTCCCAAGTACCACATCTACAAGTCTTTTAAATCCCTCCAGGTATGGTGACTCCACCACTGCTCTGGGCAGTCTGGTTCAGTGGTTGACAATCCTTTTAGTGATGAAATTTTTTCTAATATCAAATCTAACCCCCTCCAGGCACAGCTTGAGGCAGTTTCCTCTCATTGTGCCACTTGCTACCTGTGAGAAAAGGCTGAACACCACCTGGCTTCACCCTCCTGGGAGTTTTAGACAGCAAGAAGTTCCTCCTTGAGCCTCCTTTTCTCCAGCTCCCTCCTTCAGCCTTTCCTCATCAGACCTGTGCTTCAGCCCCCTCCCCAGCTCCTTTGTCCTTCTCTAGACATATCTCAATGTCCTTCTTGTAGTGAGAGGCCCAAAACTGAAGTTACTTGCTAGAATGAAAAGCAACTTCACATTAAATTATTCTAAAACAAATCACTTGCACAGAAAAAGATACGATCAGAAGCCTCTCATGGAAGTTCAGAAGATATAAGCATACAAAAAGCCATTTAAGTAAGTTTCCCTATAAGTGTACTACTCTTCTGCATTATTTGAAATATAAGCTTACCCTGCCTTTGTGTTTATCTATGCATCATTTGTCAGCAAAAACGCCAATTTTCTGCTCTAAGTGGCAGCCAACTGGGTTAAAGAGCTATATACAATGTTGTAAAGATCTCCCTTCCTACTCTAAGTCCCACCACCACAGCAAAGCCTCTTTACAGAAGAATCAGCTGTGATTTAAGTACCTACCATTAGGTTCATGTTTGTTTTCTGCTTTAGGAGAGCTTCAGTTTTCTTTTGCAGAATACACACTGCTGTCCAATTTGTGTAACTGTTTTTCATTGAGCGTTTTTTATAATTCAAGACCCCTTTCTGCTGAAGGACTAAAGTTTGTGACAGCATTTTAGGGATTCATGGGAAAAAAGTAGTTAATAATGCAACAGATCCAACCAAGGTTCCTCAGCTACTGAAAGAGGAGTGGAAAGCTCACATCAGCACAGCCACAGTAGTTTCCCCCTCTCCTTTTCCAATTGCTTGACCATGCTTTAGCCTTCTCCCTGTAAGGAGAGCCATTTTGTGGACCAAAAACAAAATTAAAAGGGCAGCTCCCAGTGGCTTTGTCACAAGTGCACACCTGTGTGAATGCAGACTGTCCCCTAGATTGAACTGGGGCTAGGTTTGCTCTTTCTCATGCTGTGTGTTCCTGCTGCTCTTGCATTGTTTTGAACGCAACTGTGACATTCCCCTCAGCTAAGGCTACTGCAGACTTTGCCCCCTTTTCACAGAAATATCCCACTATCTGGGCATTAACCATCTTATTCTAGGCAGGGTTTTTTTTGTGGTTTTTTTTTTTTTTCTCTAAAGGTCAGATATCATGCTATTGATTTCATCTTAGCTAATACTGTAGTGTGTAAAGCCAGCACCAGTTGTCAGAGCTGGTCTGTCTCAGCTACACATACAGAAATCATTTTAAAGTCTGACCTTCAGTCACTGTAATACAATAGCTGGAGACACACCACTAGCATTTTGAGGGACAACAGATCAGGAGGCTTGTTGGGAAAGAAACCACAGAAGAACATGGGAAGGTGCAGTGCTACACACACTGCACCCCAAAGCATTCCCTCCCTACAGTTCTGCTGCCCAGGTAGGCGCTATGTAGAACACCTGACTGGTAAAATAAGACTGCTTTGTGCAGCACATTAATTATAATCCTGTGATAAAATTTCCAGAAAAGGAATTCAGCTGGGAAATTCACAGAGGGAACTCAGTAGTGCTGACTGATTATTTTAAGGAATGGTACTAGTTAGTTTCTACCCCATTAGGGCTTAATACACGCAACGGACATATTTTCATTCAATGCATTACTGCTTGTGTTATTATCAGTACAGCCCTTATTCAAGCCAGTCATAATTTCTACTTTTTAAGGTGGTGCCAATGAATCAATGAGTTATGTACAGCAACGTTTTATTTTCAATAGCTTTTTCAGGTAATTGCTTTGACTAAAGCTGCCTTTAGCACGAAAAGAAACTCCTTGAACAAGAGGTAATCTGGTTTCAGGGAGGAAGTTAAACAAAAGAAAATCACTGAAGCTCAGAAGAGTCCTACAATAGTTTAGATTTAATCTTTTTAGCTCAGTAAGTATTCTACAATTATGGCTATAAACTCCAATATATAACCTCCACCTTTGCTATCAATCAGTGACTACTAATTAAGCTGGATACAAAGATCAATGATGAAGGACAGAAGCATGGCGCAAGATTCTTCTCCCCTTATTCTACTGATATATTTGCTTGTTGCATTTTCCTAAACCTTACTGGTTTGGATTCTGGGCCAGAATTTCTGTCTGAACGCTGCCTAAAGCCCTGCAGTTAGCAGGAAACTGGCATTTCAAACCTTCTGCAGCTAAAACTTGTTCACACAACATGCTTATGAAGTGCCAGATGCTACAAAATGCTGTAGTTACAGTACTAGGCACAAGATACACCTCCTTCCTAACACTGAGCCAATACTGTTTCTTCCACACTTTCACCTTTTTCTAGCATATGTTTTTCCTCACATTCTCAGTCTCCTTGCCCAGCCCCAACTCTTACACGCCTTTGGGAACTCTCCTAAGAGCACTTTCTCCAAAGCTGCATTTGTACAACCACACCCTCCCTACAAAGCCTTTAGACTCCATCCCTTCTCACCCCCTCATTCCTGACCTACTGGCTCAATGAATTTCAACATTTCAAGTTTGACTCTGCTGCTATTTCTCTTCCTATCAGCCCCATCACCAGTCCTGGTCATCCTGCCTGGTTCCCAGCTTTCCAAGGCAGCCAAGGTACACAAAACTTTAACTCCCAGCAAGTCCACCAAAGGGACTTTTAAAAGCACACAAGACTGAATTTCCAGTCCTCACATCAGAATCCAAGCACAGAACAAAAGCATTAACTCAGATTCAACAGCCACAAAGAGTCCTGTTCCCCCTGGGGAATGATACTGAGGGAACTACACCACAAAGCAGTTGCTACCAAGAACCATGGCAAGAGGAATATGCCTGACACCTTAAAGTCAGCACCACAGGTGTGTCCAGCACTCAATACCAAAGAGTAAAAGCACAGGTCATTGGAGTGGCACACGGCTGAATACTTGCACGGTGTAGGTACAAACATCCAGGAGCACTCAGGCAGCTGCTGTGAGAGGACTGGGCTGAAATAACCTGGAAGTGTTCAAGGCCAGGTTGGACGAGGCTTTGACTAACCTGGTCTAGAAGGGTGTCCCTTCCCAAAGCAGGGAACTTGGAACTAGACAATCTTTAAGGTCCTTTCCAACCCAAACCACTCTTGTGATTCTGTGAAAATGTCTGGTTGCACACAGTCACAAATAACAGAGTAAGGGACTAAAAGTATTCTGGAACCTCACTGAAGGAACACTATAAACCTGAACAAAACTATCAGAAAACCTGCGTCAGGCTGTGAAGATGCATTTCACTTCCATGCAAAACAAGAGGACCTTTTTTTTTTTTTTTGAATCTGCAAGCATACACGTCCAGAAGTGGTTTAAAACACTCTTCTAATAAGAAATTAAGTCATTACAAGAGAGAGATTAACAAGTTAGAGGAGGTAAGAGAAGGAACTCAAAGTAGAAGAACAGAAGAGAGATTAATAAAAAAACTATGCTGCTCGCATGCATTTAATGTGCTTGGAAAAATATGCCCACACAGGTGCTGAATGTACACCCAGCAGCCAACTGTGACCAAAGAGCTCTCTGAAGCTGCACTTTCAGAAGTCACATTTGCAGGCGGTCATGCCAATTACTGCCACTCCACTCCTGGGGGAACATTGCCTTTGAAAGCCCCTATCAATTTCATACAAGCTCTATAAAAAGAACACAGGAAGAGTTTTAATACATGTATTAACATGACAGGGTTGAATTCCATTAAAGAAATCTTGCTAAAGAAACGGGAGAAGTGATTGACTATCATGCTGCACTGAGATTTAAAGGATGGGTGACCACATGGGACTGGCATCTTCAAAAAGCAGTACATAAAATACTGGGCATATTCAAGAACAAAAGTCAAAAAATATCACAGAACACTGAAAATTACAAATGGTGTGTGATCAGCAGCAAATCATTGTCTCTAAATCTTGAAGTAGTAAACACAATTATTTCCCTGCAGGCAATGAGTAAGGGATGTAATAAGATGTCCCATTCCTGGAAGTGTTCAAGGCTAAGCTGAATGAGGCTTTGAGCTGCCTGGTCTAGTGGAAAGCTTCCCTGCCCATGGCAGGGGGTTTGCAACTTTATGATCTTCAGGGTCCCTTCCAACCCAAACCATTCTGTGACTCTACGATTCTTCACAGAGCATGCAAAAATGTGAAATTAAGGACACTTCAGCTCTAAAACAGTTCATGCCATCAAGGTGCTAACAGATCACCCACATTTGTGAAAATTTCAAAGATAGCCCATAAATGGGTGAATGCTTGACATCAAAGCAGTTTCAAACTCAAGGTATCTTCAAATAAAGTTGTTAACAATTGTAGAGTCCTTTTCTTCTGAGGATTCATGAAAACTGGGGTACAGCATTTACTGTTCTAAGAGCAGCGGCTGGCAGCTACTCATGTTTAGAGCTATTAGAAAAAATTTTGCAAACAAGTTCTACAGTAATATTAACAGGCTGATTAAAAAAACATTAGAGCAATTACTTTCTGCAAGTCTGCATCTTCTTTTACCAAATCTGAATATAAAAAAGCAGATGTTCAAGAACAGCCTAACTAAAAGCATAAAATATTCCAATCTTCCTTACTACATGAAACATTTTTAAATCACATGCATATCAGCAAAATTCAAATAAAATGTAAGTATATAACAACCTACACAGAGCAATTCAGAGTATCTAAAAATAAGGAAGACAACTGCTGTTGTGCTTGCTTTGCCTGTGATGAAACAGAAGGGCAAAACTGAATTTCCCCCAAAATTGCTAACAAAGTTTTAACAACTGCACTATGTCAAAACATGTCAGGTCTGACATTTTCACACTTCCTGCTGTGCTTTCTCAATAAAGTTATTCATCATAGTACTTAGCAGTAGGTATAAAAATGCTGTTTATGGACTGTTCATAATTTTACTTAGTTCTTCTCGTTATCAGCTGCCTGTGAAAATGCTGTCAAAGCCTCCCTCAGTGTTTAAATTGCACCTTAGTGAAGGCATATCAAAAGAAAGCAGGAAAAGTTACAGAGGCAGATTAAAAGAAATTAGCATCAAAAGTTTTTCTCGACAAATAAGGCAGCTCAAAAAAAATAAAGTGTTTTGATAACTTGCATGTATTAAAAGGCAGTGTTTTAAAACCTGCTAAAAAAACATTTGCAGCAACAGTGTTTAAATGCCTAAAACTTCCAGGACAGACTCCTGTTTTCAAGGGGGTTTTGTGGGGATGCAAGTGAGGAATATCAGGAAGCAGAAGAATGACTGCAACATATTTAATGGTAGCTGACAAACAGGATTTGAAGTACAAATAAAATTAATTTTACAGCAGATGTCCTCAATTTCTGCTTCCTCACTCTTCCACCCCAAAATCTACACCATTAATACATCCTAGTTATATTTTACAGAGCTAATGAAACTGAGCTCCAGTGAGACTGACAAGCACCTGCCGATGCACAGCCTGATCCATCCCGACCAGAAGCTTACAGAGGCTGCCTAACAGAATACATTTGTTCTGAAGAAGCACCAAAGTATTTTCCTGATCTTAAGATTTGGCAAATTCTCTAAAGCTTCTAACAATACAGTAGTTTTGTGCTGTCAATTCTTCTAAAACACTCTTAGTATTTGCCACTTAAGACTCTAGTTTTAACTGACTACAATATTTCACTTAATATATTATTCATATGTTTACTGTCCAGGAGGCAGGTTGGGACCACTGTATTACATCAAGCAGTCCATTTATTAAAGATGGCAGTTTAGATAATGTCAAGAATGGTTTTCAAAATAAGATACTATTAAAATTACATCACTATTACTTAAGATACCGGTTTCACTTCAGGCAAAAATCATGACAATATCCTCATCTGTTCAAATTAGCGTTCTCTATAAGCCTCAACATTTACCAAGAGAAGAACTGATGGACAACAGCTTCACTTAATTAAAAGAAAACTTATTTGGACACTCTATCCAGAGTGTACTGCAAACAAGCGCGTTTTGGGCTGGCTGTAAGAGCAACAACTTGGTAGCTTCAGTCCTTCCAGGCCTTCATGGGCAGCTTAAACAGCGCTTTTAGGAACTGCACACTGAAAAACTGACTTCATGCAGTTGCCAAAGCTATCCAGATGTACACCGAGATGGCTATGCAGCTGTTCTGAGACTCAAGGCAATGCTGGAACCAAATACTGTCAACTATCGCTACCCTCTCTGTAATTAGTTAAATAACACCTTCACCGCTCAATACACCCAATCTACTGGGATCCATGCTGGAAAGCACATTATATTTGGATGAGCCGTTATTCAAGCCAACACTCTCAGATCATGAATTTATTTTATCTTCCTCTAGGAAAGCTCTCCCTCCTCGTTTGTCAGAGCACTCGAGGAAAGCCTGCCCAGCCCAGGCAAGGAGCAACCACCCGGCAGCGAGCGAGGGAAGCGTTACCTCCGTTGATGGGGACGGGGGCCACCAGCAGCCCCTTGACCTCCACCTTCGGGGAGTCCTGCCCGTAGCGTCCCCGGTCGATCCGCAGCAGCGTGGGGCCGCCGCGCTCGGGGCTCAGCACCGTCACGTTGATGAGCGCGGTGTAGTACGCCTGGCTGGCGTTGTCGGCGCCGGCCGGCCGGACCCGGCCGTGCCACAGCAGCAGCGGCAGCAGCAGCAGCACGGAGGAGCCGCCGTTCCAGTGCTGGCGAACCCACCGCCAGCTCATCTTCGACTCCAGGCGAGCCGACGGCCGTCACCGGTTGCCCCCGCCGCTCCCCCGCGGCAGCGTCGAGCCCCGCACGCCCGGGTGTGTCCTATCCCATCTGACAGCCCGGGAGCAGAGAGAGACCAAAATCAGGCGGAGCGGGGAGGAGAGCTCGGGCTCATGCCATGGGAGGAGCCAGGGGAGTCATGGCAGGTCCCAGCCGCGTCCGATCCGCCGCCGCGACTCCCAAGGGAGGCTGCTCGGGGAAAGCCGGTCCCTCGGGGCTCCGCCGGTCCCTCAGAGCGCCGCGCTCATACCGCCCGCCCGCCGCCGCGGGGGAGCTCAGGCCGGGCGAGGGGAGGGGAGGAGGCGAGGGCGGCGCCGCGGCCCCCTCCCCGCGCAGCCCCTCGCCAGCCCAGGGGAGGCTGCTGGCAGAAGCCGCGCTGCCGCCTCAGTCGCGCTCGCAAAAAGCCGCGGGGTTCGCCTCGGACTCGGCCGCCGCGCCGCCTCAGTTCGCCCCGGGGCTCGTCGCTGCCTTAGTAAGGCAGGCGGCGCACCTCAGTGCCCAGCCCGGTGTCTGCAGCCGGCAGCCGTCGCTTCATGCCCGGTTCGCCCCGAGGGCGGCGAGGCCCCCGCACCGTCCCGCGGCTCCGCCACCGGCTCCGCGCCCGCGCCTCGACTGCAGCTCCGCGCTCTGCGCAGGCGCCGCACGCCCCGCCCCGCGCCACGAGGGCGAGAGGCGGAGCTTGGGCTCGGACCACGCCCATCAGAAGGCGGGGTCAAAAATAAAGGGCGGGGGTCTTGCCTATGATGTCATTGTGGGCGTGGCCAGGCGGCAGTGGGAGCTGGGCGTGGGGGGGGCTGGAATGACACCGGGCTGGAGCGACCCGCGGTTCCGGAAGGAATTCGATCACAGCATCACAGAACCAGTACGGGTGGAAAAGACCGCTGAGCTTATCGAGTCCAACCTGTGACCAAACAGCACTATGTCAACTAGACCATGGCACTGGGTGCCACATACAGTCTTAAACATCTGAAGGGACCGTGACTCCATCACCTCCGTTCCAATATCTAATCACTTTTCTGTGAAGAAAGTCTTCTTAATGTCCAACCAAAACCTTCCGTGCTGCAGCTTAAGCTGTTGGGACACATACAGGCTCCCATGGCTCCTCAGCATCTTTTCAGAAAAATATTTCCAGTTCAGGAGTGCTGATCACCAAAAAGATAAGAGTTTTAAAGCATGTCAGAAATAGGGGATGAAAGAGCTGTGTGTGTGAAAACCAGGTGGGATGTGTTCAGTCTGTCCAGGTAGAACTGAACGGGCTTTTGGGGTAGGAACAGGACAGCCTCTGTGCCAGGATTCAGTCATTCCTACCCTATCTGGTATTACTCGCTTCTCTTGCTTCAGACATACTAAAATGGGAAATTGTATAAACACTCAAATATTGATAATAAATATTAATCCCAGGAAATACTGTAAAACAGGGTTTGATGAATGATCAACTAACACAGTTTTAAGGATTTCAGCCTCCTGGGAGATGTAACAAAATAGTGTAATGGCCTCCTTTGATTTTGAAAGGCAAACTTACTCAAAATTAGTTACAGCAAAGAGAACAATTACTGCAGGACTGTGAGTTAGGATATTTTCAAAGTTTCTGAAAAAATGGCTGTGGAGCTGTTATTTTAAGATATGGTCTCCTTGGTGACTTCCCCAGCTGCACAGGAAGGACCTCAGATAAGCCTGGTGTTTAACCTATGTGTCTTATCAATCTGTTTTCTTCTGGGACCTTTTGTATTTTATTCATTTGTGATGAACCTGGTCAAACATGTAAGATAACACTGTCAAAGCACAGCCTGTTTATTTCATTGAGATGCAAGTAGTTTTATCCTGTCCTTGGAGAGACCTGTTCCATTTCCAAGGAAAGCAGCATGCTTGCAAACCAGCATCTCACAGCAGAAGGGACCTACAGATTCTGCTAAAGGCATATGTCGTTCTGTAAAATCCTCTGAGAAGCTGTTTCTGCAAAGCTGTGTAGAAATGTCAGTGCAGTCCAGGAAATTATTCTGAAGCAGCAACTGAATGTTCTTCTTGCATTTTTTTTAAATTTAATTTTGCCCTTCTTGGTACATGCTGGGTGAAGAACCACCTGCTATTGACTGCCTCCTCATTTCACCCAAACTTTCATCCCAGCCAGAGGGCGAGAGCTGTGGCTGACACGCTGCAGTGTGCAGAACATGTTTTGGAGCTGTTCTTGCTTTGATTTCTCAGCACTAAGAGCTCTGCATCATTCTGATGCAAACTCACGTGCTTTATTGCTGGAATGTCCTCAGAAGGGGCCAAGAAGTCCTGGGAGCCTGAAGGATTTTTCACTATCACTGTACTGACCTTCAGAGAAGGATCTCAAAGCATTTTTGAAAAGCATTGAGGAAGCATTCACTGGCCATGTTAGAAACAAAGCAAGGGGCCCAGCCAGAGCATCCCCAGCTCTTTGCTAACCATATGAAATGGTTGGTTTTTATTTTCCCCTATCCAGTTTCCTGTGGGCTGTGTTTCTGATGGAGAGAGATGCTCCAATGCCTGTGTGAGAGCTTCCTCCTTCATTCCATCCCCGTCCCCGTCCCTATCCCTTATCCCCATCCCCACTCACATGGTTGGGAGGCTATTCCTCACCTGCCTCCCAGCCTGTCTTATGGATGTCCTATGGATGGGCTGAAAGGAAGGTGAGGAGCAGTCAAGGGGGACCACTCATGACCCCAGAAGAGGAGCAGCCAAGCACTGCTCCAGGATGCACTAAAATAAGATATTTCATCAGTAGAACAGCTTCAATCTCTATGTTCCCCAGATGGGCAGGCCCCTGCATAGGGAAAGGAAAATTAAAAGGTCCTTTTGGATGCTTTCACACCATGGTGGAGCTGGATGAAGGGATGGCAATGGAGAGGAGCGGAGATGTCCCCCTTCTGTGCCCTCAGCTGTATCTCTGCCACTGACAACTCCTCAGGGGACATTATTTTAGACAAATGGTGCCGATGCCTTCATCACACCCAGGGGTACCAGGGGTGCCTGAGCGTTCCTTGAACTCCTGGTGATTTTTATTCTTTTGGGGAAACGCTCATGAATGCACTTGTGTCCCATTTCACAGCGAACACCTCACACCTGCCTCACTCCCACCCTTGGCTTTGCTGTGACACAGCCACAGACGCGCCGCCATCTTCCCGCCAAGGTCCGCGCCCGCCGGGGGGAGGGCGCCACCTGCCGGCCGCCAGCGGCACCGCCGGGGCTCGCACGGAGAGGGGTCGGTGCCATGAGGGGTAAGGAACTGGGAGGGAATTTGGTGCCAGAATGACAAGGGGCTCCGGTCCGGGGGTCTGGTGCCATGAGGGGTAAGGAACTGGGAGGGAATTTGGTGCCAGAATGACAAGGGGCTCCGGTCCGGGGGTCTGGTGCCATGAGGGGTAAGGAACTGGGAGGGAATTTGGTGCCAGAATGACAAGGGGCTCCGGTCCGGGGATCGGTGCCATGAGGGGAACGGGCGTCCGAGGCGGAGTTGGGTGCCCTTAGAAGAAGAGGGGTCCGGGGGGGATTGATGTGCTGAGGAGAAGGGGAGTCTGGGGGCTGTTATTGCCTTGAGAAAGGGCGTCCAGGAAGGGTTTGATTCCCTGAGGAGAAGGGGGGTCCGGGGGTCTCTGGTTCCTCTGCTGTGGTGGATGAAGACAGGAAGGCTGGAGATCTCCAGGGGTGACACCCCCAGGGCCGAGGTGGCAGGGAAGGTTTGTGGGTCTGGGGCAAGGGCTGAGTGCTGTGTTTGCTTCTGCCAGTGAGCTTAACCAAAGAGAATATGCAACTTCACCATGAGAAAAGCCAGAGTTTCATCCTGGATGGACATGCCACAAGATCCAGCTGTTTCTGAGAGGATGCAGGGAAATGCAAACAGACACAAAAGTAAAAATAATAAACCCAAAATGTGCTGATGGCTTGGGCTGGGGCTGGGCTGCCCCAGGGGCAGAGATGGCCCCAGGAACCAGAGAGCAGCTGCCAGTTATGACTTTATTCATTTTCACATTTAGATATTACAACAAAACTCTTAATGACAAAGGATAACAAGTACTATAGTAGGAGAGGAAAGGAAGCAGTGTTCTAACTGGTTTGATATATAACCGTGAACTTCCAGAGACTAGACTCAACGTGAGTTACAATCACTCACATACGCTCACTGGTAGGAAAACTCACATGCAAATACCCACACATTCACCCACAGCACGCTCACACACACACAGACCATGCTTTGTACTCACACATAACCCCTGTTTTAGCCTACTTGCTTCAAAGGCAGCCCACTGAAACATTGAATGCTGCTAGAGCAACAACAGGTACCAGGCGAAAATATTGCAATATAAATGTAGTGTTACTTGATAAACAGTTTTTTCTTCAGAGACACATGTATTTGCAAGTAGGGGACCCAACACTTTGTTTTCAGGAAGGAGGAATGTCCTCTCAACACCAACACTTTGTAAAGGAAAGAGACTGAGCATAGAGTGGAAGCAGCCATTTTAAAGGAAGGTGATGATGATGATGAATAGCTTAGCTTCAATGTTGAGTTCCGTTAAGAAGCCCAAACAAAACAAAAAACAAAACAGAGAATGCATTGTGAACAAAGCAGGCACAAGTATCAAAACCTGGGTTTTAAACATTGAAATACTCCCTTGATGCTGTAGAAAGATAGACAACATTCCTGTCTCATATCTTAAAACCAAAACAGACCAGCTTCACTTCATGCTTATCTGGAGACTGTAAAAATAAAAAGCCAGAAATAATTCAAGGGGGTGGGAAGGGTTATCAGGTTTGCACATCTAATTTAAGTATACCTTTAGAGAGCAAAAGTACAATTGTCTCAACAGCTCTTCAATCTCCCACACTACAGTTGTTCTTCATCAGCAGGAGTGTCTGAAGAGGAGCCAGCTTTTGCTCTGATCAGGCTGCATTGTTCATGCAATGCTGTTGACACAGACACAATAGGATCTTATTCCACCCCCCATCTAGATGGTGCAAGAGAGAGAAAATAAACTTCTGTGGAGTTGAATGTTCAAAAATCAGATGACACAGAAGTGTTTTCCCCAGGATGAAGCAGGAGATCGTTAACAATGGTTTTAACAACCCTTCTCCACAAGGATGCTTGTGAGCAATTTACAGCTAAACTTAGAGAAAAAGTGCAGCTGTACTGGCTGGATGTCCATGCTGACAACCAGCCTGGGCACTAAGATGCCCCTGTCACCTTTCTGATGAGGAATCCTGCCACTGCCGAGCAAATGTCATTCTTTGCTGGCACATACCTATCCCTTACATATGGTCAGGGACTTACAGCTACTTTGAAATTCTGTTTTTTTAACTATTATTTTGTTTGTAGTCCTCTTTCTTGCGCCCTGTCTCAGATGGGGCTGTTTCCAGGCAGAGAACTCTTCATGGAGTGATGGAAGTAAGAGACTCTGGATCCTATGGATGCACATCACCCAGCAAGCAGCCTGAATTTAACTCAGCTGGTCATCACCATCAATGCCAGTGGAAACCTCTAGCAACACAAGTCACATGCAGCCTTCCTTCTGCCAAAGGAACCACCAGTTCAAAAAGGAGGGCAAGATGAGGGCAGGAGAATTTGATCTGGCCTACACCCTGTTTGTTGTCCTACTTCCTTGTCCTGGCTCTCCAGCAGCTCCTGCCAGAGGATTCTTACTGAGTCGTAACAATTACTTAAAGATGCTTAAATTCCTGGCAGCTTCAGGGGACACCAGTAGAAGTCAGGGAATTCATTGTCATATGCAGTTTCCAACTCCGTATCCTGAGCCAGTTTGGCTCAAGCTGGTCTAGTTTTGTGCCTCTCTTTTGCCATGGAAATTGCAGCCGTGTCATCCTGCTGACACAAAAAGGGAGTGGAACATTGAACGAGCTGCACAGGCTTAGAGAATCTGAATGACAGGCATGCTTTTCCCATGTGTTAAATAAATCTCCCCATTACACTTGTGTGGAGAACTATAATTAAGACTTGGCAACATCTTCCATAAGGACTCACAGGCTTACGTCGGGAAACGCGTAAAACCCTCTGCTGGAAAAGAAATACAGTTTGGGAAAGCTGTACATCTGGCAGGAAACACAGTTTTATGAGTCCAAACCCTTGGCTCTGTGACAGAGGTGTGGCCCACAAGCAGTAATTCCCTGGTGCTGAGATGTCCTGGTGCACAGAGCGCTGCCAGCCATGGGCATGTGGGAGACGAGATGATGACAAGCTGTTCAAATAAGCCTTTTCACCCAGACTCCTGAGGCAGTGATGTAACCATGCTCTGTGGCTGAGCTCTTGGATTGGGAGCAGGATAGAAAGAAGTAGGTGGGAAGTGGTGAGGCAGCAGTACAGAAATCTATAGAGAGGGGCTGCGGAGGTTCCCCAGAGCTCTGAATTCACGTGGTATCCCTTAGAAACAAAGACTAAAGTGAGGAGATGTTTTCTCAGCAAATAAACATTTCTTAATCCTCTGGACTCAGGTATGCTCTGCTGGAAGCTCTGCAAAATAAACTGGAGAGGAATCTGCTGGGTAGAGAGTGCCTCCTTTGAATCAGGGAACTTGGGAGACAGGAAAGGTCGTGGTGCAGAACTGTCCATCCAGGAGAATCAGGGCTTGAACCCTGGCCAGGTGCTGGGTTCCATGTGTTCAGTGATGTCAACACACAAGGGCATGCAACCCAGAGCACCTTATTGCTGGAGCACTGTTCCTTCCATTGTTTCCAAAATGCTTTGCAGCAGCTTGAAAATAAACATTTCACTCCCTGCCCTTTTGATCTTTTTCCTCCCAGCAAACTCTATGTTTAGAAGCCAGCTCAAATTAACCTAGCTTTGCTTTAATTTCTCACTCAAGCAACAAATGATCTCAGCACCATTCTGGGAGAAGGGGAAGGCAAAAGCAGCAGACCTGTGAATAACCTGCTCCCAGCAGAGATCATAAAAGAACCTGTTTTGCACAAGGCCTGCAAAAAATTGCTGTTTATCTCACCGGAAGCACTTTAGCCATCAGCTGATGACCTACTCAGCACTAGCTGTGTTGAGATGGCTAAAATAATTCTAGTGATAAGGCAGAGTGGCAGGTTTCCCCCCCGCAGAGATGAGAGGAGTGTGGGTATTGCTTGCAGAGGAGATGGAGAGGCTGGCACCTACTCAGGATGAGCAGCATGCATGAACATTTACAAAGATCCCTCAGGATCTCTCTGTACACCTCTTTAAAATGTCCTGCTCTTGTTGTTAATACCACTAGGGATTTCTTCCCTTTGATTCTGCTCCACAGCTCAGCAGCTGACATCATGATGAGGGGAGGAGGAAGCAATCCAAGGAAAAACATTCAGGCTGCACACCAGGAAGAAACTTGAGACTAAGGCAGATCTATTTATATCTGACCTGAAATGGGCTTTCTGAATGGGAATCCGATCTGAGCGGAGGCTGGATGTTAGGCAGAAGGTGCCATAGTGCTGAGCACAGGCACCCACTCTCTGGCAGAATGCATCTGTCTGAGGTGCAGGAATAAAAGAAACATGAGGAATCAGTGAGGTGCTCTCTCCAGTCGTGGCACAGGGAAGCTGCAGCTGGAGGTGCTGCGTGGTTCATGCTGTGGTTCCAAGGACATCAGTGTTCCCCATCTGTTTGGGGTAGGTTCCCTGTTGGTTTTGGGCATAGGTTGAAGGAGAAGCTCTGAGTGACCCTGATGCCGTGCCTGGAGGACCTTGGCCTCCAGGGCCTGGTGCCGTTAGTACTGCTCAGAAAAGAAGGAAGTGTGGAGAGTGGGGGGACTGGCCCCCTCTCCAGGTGGGGTGCAGCTGCCATCCTCAGAGTGTTCCGACAGCTCCCCATATTCACTGTTGTAAAAAGTCTGGCCTCCGACTTGGGACCCGTACGATGGCCGACATCTGCCCCGCAGGTCTGACTGTTCCCCTGACAGCTCCAAGGTTCGACTGGGCCCTTTACTGCTGTGAGGGAGAGAGACACAGAGAATTAACCTTGGCACTCCTAGAAAACCTCTGTCCTGCTTAGAGAGATCCCAGTTTCAGAAAATCTCTTCTTCTAATACATGTGGCAGAGACAGGGTCAGGAATGGATTTGGACTTCCATTTCAAAGCACAAAACCAGGCCTTGCTCTAAACCCTTTGCTTTGCCCTAACCCAAATCCACACATAACCTGGCACGTTTATTTCAGCTCTTCTAGATACCTTTTGGGATACTTTCTAGATACAGGGAAGGGTTGGGATCCCAATGAGTAGGGAGAGACAAGAGACATTGCCTTAATTGCTTCTAGACCTGGCAGGAATAACAGAAATTGATACAAACCAACTGCCAGGATGGGGGAAAGGAAACAAAGGAAGATGATGATGATGTGGACAGAAATCATATGTCCCATCTCAATCAGTGCCTGACAATACCGGGTGACTGGCAAGAAATCACAAGAACAAGGGCAGGGACACGTTCAAGGAGAGGTTTAAGAGTAGTGTTTTCCAGGAGATGGGACACCAGGTGTAGGAGACAACAGGAAAATGCCTTAGGGAAAAGAGGAAAAGGACAAGAAGCAGGAGACAGTTTGATACAAGAACAGAAAGGCTGCAGGGCTATGGCTAAGAGAAAAGACAATGACCAGTCCAATCTGATGTTGGGAGGCAGATGAGGTGAGGAAGAGGCTTGGGACTGGCCTTGTCTATGTATGAGGTGACATGGTTTGCTCAACACACTGTCACAGAGACAAGGTCTCAGCCTGCTCTGACAGAGATGAGCTGCACGGGTTCTCACCCAGTTTCAAAGCCTGGGTCAAGGACATAATCATCCATAACATCCTCAGCTCTGAGAGTGCCAGCTCAACTTGCCTGACCCCATGCAGCCTGTGGGAATTCCTAAGGCCTGTCCCATCCTTGCACCACTACATCAGGGTTCTGTACCCCATGGGTCAGGGCTGAGGGAGGAAGGTGGCAGCCACATAGCTATTGCCCATTCCATCTGCCACTGCTTGAGCAGGCCCTGATATATTTCACCAGAAAATGTCAATAAGCATTAACAGTTGCATTATCACCGTCACTCCACTGTGCCTCATTATCTTAACAGGCACATTCTCATTGATGGGCACAGTTTGTATTTTTAAACCCTAGAAAACAGCAGGCTTGTCTGTTCTTCCTGTGTTTTGCCTCTCATTAAGGAGTACATGGACTTATCTGAAAGCTGAAAGCTCCATGCAGTGCAGCCTATGGGGAGATACCAGGAGCTGCCTCCTGGTCTCACTGCATTTGGCAGCAGGGAGGCCTCAGTGACTAGGCTTAAGGAGTACCTGAATCCACCTTCTTTTCTGTGTCGGTTTTCTATCCTCTCAAATTCCTCAGATGCCAGAACCATCCCACTGTCTGTCTGATTGTCCTGGAAGGAAGCAACAGGAGTTATCAGTAATGTCCTTGTCAACTGGTCAGAGTGGGAAGGAAGGAGAAATCATTCAGGAGATGAGATCATGTGTGATGGGGAAGAAGGGGTAGGAGCACTTTACCAGCATGCTCCATAGTTTTGCTGAATCTGATTTTCTTAGGTACCTTCTTAAAAGCAGCACATAAAAAGTTATGATTTGTGTGCTTAGTCCAGTGCCATTTTTGGGGAATAAAAAAAGAGTACTCCCTGTCTGGAAGATGTATTACCATCAAATCTGTGAGAGGTGATATTTTCCTCTGAGACTAAGGTATGACTTCAGTTCTGCTGCTAGAGGAAATATCAGTACTAGTCCAGTTCAGAGAGACCTGGAGGGTCCCTTGTGCACACTGCCACGTGGATCAAGATACAGGAGCTGCAGATAAGCACTCCAGGTTTATCGAGTCCTGGCAGGGTTTCAGTGTGCTTAACCAGGCTGTGTTCACAGATTTGAGAGGGTGAAGAGCAGGCTCTTCTCTGAGGTCCTTTATAGTCCCCCCGTTTGCATATCTAACCTCCTTGTTTCCCGCTAAGGCAGTGTGAACTGTGCTGGAGAGAAACCCCTGTGTGCCAGATGAAGAAATGAATGTGCATAGGACTGGATGGACCAAACAGGAATGACACAGACAGACTGACATAAGGTAGGAGTGATCTTCCTTCCACAGTCTTAACAGTAAAGGTGTCAGAAAAGACTGCCCCCTGCCCATATCCGCTCAGATGGTACTCACCGGGTGTGCTTTGTACATTGTGTGTGTCATGGGAAACTCTTCAAATGTCTTTATCCTGGATGGACACCTGATCTGATTTCCTCCCGTCAAACAACCAGGGAACGAAACGCAGTTGTAGTATCTGCAAACAAAAGCATACAGTATTCAGTAAAGGCAAGAGTCAATGTCCTGAATGAACAGGATCTGAACTCAACCTCCTCACTGTGCAACCAAAGTATGCAGGGAGGAGGATGACCCAAATGGTAGATTTGGGGAGGCTAATGGGGTCACCTTAGACCTCTTAACCCCATAATACTTCTGCAGAGGAGACTAGACTGACTAAATCAGGCCCCAATAACCTCTCCATACGAGATAAGCAGAAAATGTCATATAGATCCCAGGCATCAAATTATCAGTTTGCCAGAGAGGAGAGGCCTGGGACTAATTGTTTGGGTCAGTTAGGTACAGATAGGATGAAGCTCCTTACATGATACTCTGGCAGCATAGCTGGAGGAGAAGAAGGAATGTGATAGGCTTACAAATCAGCACTTCCTCATGAGCAAAATAAAGTAATTTTGCTTTTATAAGCAAGAAGCTATGGCCTAAATGCTTGGGTCACTCATTATCACCTGTGATTTTCCAAACATCTGGGTTCTCCCCATATCCCTCTGGTCCCCTTACGAGTCAGGCTTTTTGCTGCCTGCTGTGCTCTCTCTGCCCTTTTTGGATGGGATTCACCTTGCTGCTAGGCTGTGGCAGCGTATCCTCATGTCAAAGTCCTCTTCATCTGAGTTTTGCTGGGCAGAGGAAGGCACCTGGGAGAAACCGTCATCTTCTGAGCTGTGAGAGTCATTCAGCGGGATGTAATCTTTCCCTTCCTGGTAGGAAGAACAGTAAATGGCCTTACAAGAAGTAAATGGCCTTACAAGAAGGGGAGGACTTTCCCACAAGAAAGGGCTCCACAGGCAGAAGCTGTCAGAGCTGGGAAGGAAAATTTCTGTTTTATAAATTTTATTTCTCTAGGACAAAATATCTGGCTGGAAATTTCTGTGACCTTTGTGTTAAGTAGCTGTGAATGATGCATGGAGGTGTGTGTGAGCAGGAAAACAACTGCCCATAATAATCCCATAATTCTCCAGTTTACATGGACAGAGTACTGTGCTCCAGAGTAATGTCATTTGTGGCTTAGTCATGCCTGTACTGGGAACCAGTGCTGAAAGGTTAAAGCCAGGAACGTCAGGATGAGAAAGTACTCAAGCATTTAGCTATCATTTTCTGAAAGGGAACATCAAGAAAAAGTTAAAATCAGAGCTGCACGTTCAACACAGTCAAATGTCCTGGTGAGTTACCACATGGAAGTGATTAGCAATACATTCAAAGAAATCTGTATTACTGATTGCTGTAATGTAACAGTTGTTTACTTCACATGGCCCTGACATTTCAATCTGAGGACAGAGTTTCAGAAACCCTGGTCAAGTCCTGGTTTTCATTATGCAGGCATGTAAGAGGCAGAAGTACCAGGGCCTTGACTCAGCTGAAGAATTTCAAATAATCATCTGGGGATTAGGATGGAAGTACTAGGATGACGACGGAGAAGGCTTCTGCCCTGCAAGAAGCAGAGTTTTATGCGGATGCAGCTAAAAGGCTGTTGCAGAAATGAGTTCTCCAACAGCTCTGGGAAATAGACCTCTGACCCAGGAATCTCTGTGGCCTACACAAAGGTATTGCAGTGACCATGGAGTCAGCTGAGGGCACAGTGAGGGAGCTGGTGATGACAGAAGAAAGAGCTGTCTAGAGCAGAGCAGGGACACAGAGAGGTTTTCACCTGCTGGACGTTTTCCTGAAGAAGGTTCCCCAGTATCTCCACAAGGTCAGAGAAAGTCGGTCTCTCCTTGGGGTCACCGTGCCAGCAACTCAGCATTATACGGTAGCTGCCAATAACAGATGCTTGTTTTACACCACAGAAATCCCCTCCTGCCCCACTCCACAGCTCCCACCCACATGGTGCCCACTGGAACAGCCAGTTCCTGCACTGTGAAGGAAACCTTGTTCCCCCCCAGTACTCTGGCCAGGTGGACTTACTGGCAGGGTGTTGGTTTGTTATCCAGTTACTGTAACAGGGAACAAGGAGCTAAGTCAGACCCCTCTGATACCCTTCAGAGCAGGAAAGCAGAGTGCTCATTTACAGACCCAGCCCAGCATGGGCATGCAAGGACACCTAGAGAGCCATGATCAGAACCCATCTGCCTTGCTCTACAGGCAGTGGCCTAGACTGAAGGATGTGTTGGCTCATTGCCTACCCCGGCTAAAGGTCTGCATCCCACAGAGGGGCCTGTTCTGCTCTATGCTGGGATCTGCTAGGTTTCTGCCCTCCCACAGAGGCCTCTGCTCTGACCAGTGCTGGAATCCTTGAGGTTTCTGACTCACATCTCTGCTGTGGCATACTCTGGGGCTCTCATCCTGGTACCATCTTTGAGCCTCTGGCAGAACTCCTCATTGATCTGGACTCCAGGATATGGAGATGCCCCTAAAAAAGGTTCAGAGAAGGATGGGTACATGAAATGTGCCATCAGAAACCAGTCCTTTTGAGACTGCCTTTTTGAGACTCCCCTTCATCCCAGAACACGGAGAGGTCTGGTTACTACTCATACACAGCCCAATCCTTGGTGCTGCCTGGGTCAGGCTTCTCTGCCTCAGTGAGCTGGAGGCCACCTCTGCATGCCTGTGTCCCCACCACTCTGTTCATGGGTGGATATGGCCTCCATATTTTATTTCTCTACACCAATGTTGCTTCCCATCAGTCCTTAGATGTGCTTCAGAATGTCTGTCCTGCACAGACTCACCCACAAACTGCTACGTGGGTAGGGGTGTCTCCCTCAGCAGCATGAGACCCTCATTAGCACTCACCTAGTGAGAAGATTTCCCAGAGAAGGACCCCAAAAGACCAGACATCACTCTGGGTAGTGTAGACCTTGTCGAAGATGCTTTCTGGAGCCATCCACTTCAGTGGGAGACGGGCCTGCAGGAGCGAGAGGCAAGGCACAAATGTTCAGTTGAGAACATGTCCCAGGACAGCCCTTCTTGTAGAAAAGGGATGAAATGGATGGAAGGAAATCAGAACCAAAAGCCCAAGTCCTCTCTCAATGGAGGAATTGGTTAGGTCAGAAACATTGAAAGGGGGATGAAAGAGCATAAGGAAGAGTAAGTTAATGACAGGCTGAGGGGCAGAAGGAAGGAGACAGAGATCTGCTGGTGGAGGAGGACAGGATGTGTCATTGGTCCAATGGCTTTTTGTCCCACCC